TTTACCAGGATGCTTGCCTGATATAAAGCACCTTAACATCTTATTTCAAGATGACGATATTGGAATATAACGGAAATTAATGTTGCGTACTTTTCCAACCTGGTTACCAGAACTATTTCAGCTGCCGAGTCCTTTTCGTCCTGTACGCAACTAGAGAAGAGGACGAAAGAGACTCGAATGCTAATATATGTTTGGTAATCGTGTTCAGTTTTCTGGTGTAGCCTTCATAGAAAGGGGTTAGAGGACTCAATACAATGGGCTTCACACTATACGATGGGAAAACCCCTGTAAGACCAAGTGAACTGCGTGTCTGCTCTGTAAACCTACCGTGATAGTTATCCCGGAACAACATGAGCCATTAAGATTCCCCTGTCATCGTTAAGGTTGCCACTGTCACTGTCTTTCTCACAGCAGCTAGTGTGCAATCCACACGGGATACACATAAAATTCATCGCAAAACATGATTTAGAGATCGATGAAAACGCCATTAGGCCATGTTGATTTGATTATATGGATGACATCCTCTGGGAGTCCCAAAACTGATGCGCGCGTGCGAATAAAAAAAAAGTTTTGCAAAAAAAAAGTTGCTTTCATTATGAAATCTGCGTGGTCATGAAGGTTGAAAAAATGACACAGAGTATGGTTTGGTGAATAATCTACTCTTTAAATTCATTTCTTTTTACATTTTCGTCTTTTTTGTTTGATTTTGGCATTTTGCGACATTGGTATCATTTTTGAATATTCTTTTTGCAACTTACGGTATATATTTGCTCATTTTGCAACTGTTTTGTACGATTTACAGTATGGTTGAAAACTTTTTTTTTTGGAAACGGCCGAAAATTCATGCGCGCGCGGATGTCATCCATATAATCAAATCAACATGGCCTTAGATACCATGAGTCATTTAGCACTTTGACTCTGAGAGGCGGATAGTTTACCGTTTCCTCACCACTCCTTTCATAGCTAACCTTTGATGTGAAAGCAATAGGTCTTAAAGTATTAACCACGCAAAAAAGGATAGCCACAAAACTCTAATCGTTACGTCATCCTAATGTAGGCTTTCCTGTCCAGTTCTAACCTTCGGCAATTATAGTTGATGCGCATGCCTGAACTCGTGACGTCATCATGGGAGTGACATTCACAACTTTGATTGGACAAAATTTGAAATTCGAACCGTTACAATATTCTCTCCAAGCTTGCAAGAAAAAAAAGCCCGGCCCTGACGCTTTGCCAAAAAATTCTCCTTACGTCAAACAAGTCTACGTCATCGCCAATATGTATTCCTAAAGGGATTTTCCTGCTAGAAATCGCATTGCGTCAAGAAGACCCTTCTTGTTCACTGGGTCACACATATTATTTTCGGTCGGTGCTCGCTGTCACTCCCACTCACTCCTGAAAAAACAAGAAAAATCTTATAGAACGCATTGTTCAGAGGTCTGAAACATTTTGCTATTAAGGACCACGTATACTACTGTAGTAGTTATCAAGGCAACGCCTATAGTTACCATGGCAACGCCTATACTCAAACTGAAGAAATTCATGAAAAATCAAGTCTGTGAAAAATGTTCTGGAAAACGTGAATGTCAAGCAGATAATTTCTCCCCTGATGTTTTCAGATGTTATGATAACTTTCAGAGTCTTTTTACGTATATATGTTATAATAGTGAAAGTGTTTCAATTTTGTTGACACCACAAAAGATAAAGTGTATACACAAAGACCTTACGCGCTCAGTCTGTAAAAGCTGTGCGATGTCAGACTTCCTTATTTGAGGTCCTCAGAAAGACCAGGACGTTCTGTATGCAGTAGATCTGTACCTATTGTTCCCCAAAAGGGCGACCAATAGCCGCATACAGTACTCTATAGGGAGGACCCGTGTCTGCAAACATGGCCAGGGTTTCCGCCGGGTTGGATCTGAAGGGTTTGGAGAGCTTGGGAAAATAAACCCACGCGACCAGCGCAAACACGGCTTATCCTAACTCTCAGCCATGGTCTTAAAAGTTAAAGGCATCGAGTGCGATTTCAGGGCAGCAAAACTGGACATATTCTGAACAAGGCAATTTCTTAGTGATTTTGACACATACTGCTTCACATTAGCACATTTAAGATTTAAAATATTTGACAATATCGCTTAAAGCGAATGTTAAGGTGTCGCTACATCCCCTGTGTCTGGTGAAGAGGTATAAAATCCAGTCATATTATACTGGGTAGTGAGTTGCTGTTATAGGCCTTTCATTGAAGATCCATAAAACAGGTAATAGAAAAGGTTTAGCTAATTTATGTCTTGTCAAATTAGAGAATGACTCTTCAGCTATTTAGAGCTATTCTTTTGTGAAGTCAGGTCGTCAGTATTCGTTAGATCTCGGTCTGTTTGGCACTTTGATTCGGTAGCCTGACGTCACGGTCGCCATGTTTGTTCTTCAATATGGCAGGTCCTGGAGGGCAAAGGTCAAGTTTGCCCCCTGCTTATCACCATAATGTCCGACACACTGTAGTGGACAGCGGGTACAACACTGCAGCACCGCAGGGCGTTCTTTGTGCAGGACAAAGCTGTCATGACCGTGGGAGAACTGAATTATAAACAGCAAAGGCTGCAAAAGAGCTGTGTCCCTCCAATCCGCAGTGTCACCCCCGTCTGTCAAAGCGTGTCAGCGGTTCTATGGCTGCTAACGTCCCGGTACGGTCTGCCCTTTCCAGAGGCATTGTCCACGGAACATGCTCCGCCTTAAATCGTGTCTCCCGCCGACGAAAAACTCCGCCTAAGTCCCCACCAATTGTCATTCCGGCATTGAACACCGGTTTTAATAGATTGATCTCCGTAGAATCGCCAGACTTTGGTTGCCTTTGGGAATTCTGATGCTTTAAGATGAATTGGACAGGAAATCTATTAGGAGCCAAACCGTTACCGCTTGGAAACTGGGAACATGCTATAAGTTCAATTTTCTCGGCCAAGTAGCCGCCTCGATGACGTATAGACCCACAAAGTGATTGACACGTCGTTGCCCATTCAGACCCAATGGACCAATCACGTCTTCTTAATTTGTTCATATTGATTATACTCCAAACAAACTTCAAGTGGCCATGTAAATAGATGAGATACAACACGGGACCTGTGGATATCTCGGGCTGAATTGCGAGGGTTTGTGAGGGGAGACGTAGCGAGGACCGTCGGTGGGAGGCGCCCGGGCGACCGCTCAGACCTGCCGGGGGAGTGTCGGTGTGCAGTCATGGCCTCAGCCCAGCTCGCGTTCACCGTCTTCTTCTTCTATCTGCTGTGTCCCACGAGCATTATCGGACTGTGGTGGTGAGTAGATCCCTGCGTAATTAGCACGTACAGACTTAATTGTTGCACGAGGTGCTTGTCAGTTGTCCCAGGGGGGAGTACTAGTACGTAACGCCGCCCGTCTGTAGTGGGGTGTCGTTGGGGACGGAGGGAGGGGGGCATGGCTGTGTGTGTCCACCTTGCAAGCTTCTACAGTTTTTCAGACACGGCTACATATTGGTGTCCTGCTTTTCAGCCCGTGGCCATATTCAGATAATAACTTTTGTCTGACGTTACTTCGCTCCGAGCGATGTGTGTGCAGCGGCTAAAGTACAATAGCCGCGTTGATTCGCCAGAACACCGGCTCCCCTAACAAGAAACCACGGCCTTGTCTACCGAGAAACTACAGGCACAGCTCCCCTGGTCGCATACATATTCTCACAGATACATGCAAGAATACTCAGCGTATGTGGCAGTGGTACGCAACGCCGGGCTTGGACAGTAACGAGTAACAAAAAGACGTTAAGTCCTAAAAATACTTATCCCTTGTAAAACAACATAGGGATAGTCGCTGACAACAAGGTCTTGTCTTGTCGACATATCTTCTTAGATCATAACAGAGATAGGGAGAGAAGTGACTCGTGTTTGCGGAAGATTTCGTGCACCACTCTTGTGACTAGAAGATCGCATTGCCGCCCTCTCCCTTCGCCATTGTCCTGTCGCTAGAATATTCATGCTGGAAACCCATGGGGAAACGATTGGTTAATGCCTCGTAAAGACCAAAAACGATAGCAGCCCTTATCAAAACGAGCCCTCGGGGTAGTTCTGATAGCTTTGAGTGCTTAAAACACTGCACAGAAAGGAGGTCTCCTTTTACCGTAGGCCCTGCCACTGTTCGCCTCGGCGTTTTGAACCTCTCGACCGGTCTTTGTTTGGGACGAAACGCGTTAACGAGAAAATTGGTGTTGAGACAACAATCGTGCTAATGTGAAATTCAGTAACTTAATGACGGGGATTAGGAAAGGATATGTTGTTCTTCTTGTTGACGACGGGAGGAGACAACAGGCGTGTTTACCTGCGTGCGAGGTCGCTGTGTGCCGGGCGGGTGTTGAGGAGGTGTGCCGGGTGGGGGGTCCATTTCGCCGGGAGGACAGACTCTCCTATCCACGGCCGTCAGTCAGCAGAGCGCGTGCAACCGGGCAGCTCCCAGGGCCAGCATGCGCCTATGTGAAGGCTTACAGTTCCTCATCCTGTGGGTCCAACTCTCGCAGTAAGTGTTTCAGCAAAATTCCGTACGGCGTAAGCACGCGTGGGGCTGGTTTCGTGTAGCAAATTCCCCCTGTTTTAGATGTTTCGACCAATGCCTGAGACCTGGCCATATGCCGGGCCATGTGCGGCTGACGTCCCAAACAACAGTACACTCACACTGGGTGGTTCTCCGAACGTTCTTAATTCATCTTAAGGTTTCAATATTTGTGGTGATGTTTAAGGTGTTATATTGGTTATTCAGGTGTAGTTTAAGCATAGTTTGGTACTGTTTTTGCACTGTCGGTATTGAGACCGTCGACTTGATGATATGATGTAGTGTACTACCGATCTCCACCGTATATATATAAGAGAATCCCTTTGTGATTTTTTGCATGTTCCACATGGAAGCCCCTTGCACTTAGTGAGTGCTTCCCGTCTCCCCTTCTCGCCACCCACTGACTGTAGGGCCGAAACCTTGAACCAAATTTCCCACAGGGCGGTGGGCAGCCCGCTCGTAATGGACCACCGGTCGATCTGCAGGAAGACGCGGCGACTCATCGGCAAGCAGGCGGAGATCTGCCGTAAGGAGCCCGAGATCGTACAAGAAGTCATCAAGGGCGCCAAGCTAGGCACGGGCGAGTGCCAGTTCCAGTTTAAGGAGAGAAGATGGAACTGTTCTACTGCTGATAAATTCTTCGGAAGGATTCTTATGCAAGGTCAGATTTTAATAAGTATAAATCTTCTAATAAACAGTAAATTTATTGCCTTACTAGGTAGATGTTAGGCTTTGCTTTTTCTTCACATAAATGCTGTTTAGGTTGTGTTTTGAGAAGTCTTTTCACCCAAAGTGTGTTAGGACCCATGTTAGTTAGGATTCAGGGCCAGTGGAGTTATGGATATATTCTGTTTTTTCCCAATCTTTTTCAGACCGCGGAAGAGGGAACGATTGGTGGCGAAATTTGCAAGGTTTCTAAACTTCCTTCTTATATCTAATCCATCCCCTTGTTTCTGTCAGACGACCAAAATATGTGTAATGTTGCTACCAATCTTCCAACGATAGTCTACATATAGTTCGAGGCTTAGAACCTGTTTAACACAGTAGTTGAGTGATGTTTTTCTGTTTTGTTCAGTTCGAATGAAGTTTTGTTGTCGATAGATACAACCATCAGGGAGGAAGAACCAAATTTCCTGACTTTCTTGAAGTGTTGTATAGTCTGCTCCTCAGCAAAATCTTAAGGTCGTGTCCTTTTTTGTGTTGTGACGACACTCTTGATGATGACAATAAATTTGCGTTGCGTGTGTCCATAACTCTACTGGCGACTTCCTGACATTCTTGCCCAAGACGCATGAACTTGGTGCCATTAGCACCGTGTTGTTGACGTGTTTTCGGTGACTTCTCAAAACACGCACCTACCTCCTGACACATTAACACACGGCGTATAATTGCGTGTAGCCACATTAGCTGCTGTCCGTAATTAGCCACATAAGCCTTTTAACCCACTTTGTCACTTAACTATTAATTACATAGTGTGTGTTTTGTAGTATGTAGTGCTTAGCTGCATTTTCTACCTCTGTAAAACACAATGTAGCCTCTTGGTGTAGATTGCAGTACGGGGTTTGAAAATAAGGTGCAGATGGGGTATCTTGTGTTCGTATTTGAGTGTGGAATTATCTTGTAACAATTCTAAATTGGACGATATTACAACACATTATCAGCTACTAGTACTTGGGATAATGAACCAGATGCCCCATGGGAATTCAAAATGGCGGCCCCTGTGCGGACGCCATGACATCTGTCACCTGTATCCCTGGTTTTTCTGCAAATCTGAGCAGAAGGACGGGCGAGAGAGAAGAGTAAACTCGGGTGTAGAAGCCCGTGGGTGGGCAGCCACAACACGGCGTGTTTGTGTGTTTGGTGCCGGCGTGAGAAGCCAAGCATGGCTAGGTTGGCAGAGGGAAGAAAAAGGCCCCGAGCGAATTCCATGTCGGATGCCTGGTTGTGTGCAGGGTGCCCCGGTCCCCGGGCCTGTTGTGACAGCCGACGCACACAGCCACCCATGCGGCACCAAAGGTCAATCCAACCCGACATCAATATGGTAACTTTGTAGCAAACTCTGACGTCTTCATTTCAAGGCACGGACCAGCGAATATCCCAACATCTATACAGCTTTCCATCAATAAGATTCAACACCAAAACCTTGCAAAAAGAGTCAGAAAAGTCTAGTATTTACCTCAGCACACCGTCGCATTGATACAAATGACACGAAAAAAATTGACCGTGTGAAAGCTTTAAAGGGGAAAGGACGTAGACAGAGTTCATGTGAGGTTGAGTTGAAAAATGACACGGCTGGATACCTGCGCTGATTGTTGTATCATACCTGTTATTGTTGTAGCTAGGCGCGGTGAGATAGCTGATGGTTTAGATGTGATACTGTGTTAGTGGCAACTTAGTGCCACAACAAAGAACCGACAAATCCCACAGTCTAAACTGTCTTAAGAGTCGGTTCAGGGTGTCAAATCTCCAAATCACGACTTCATCATTTCGGGATAACTCTATATACCTTAAGTGCAAAACAGTGGCACATAACCTAGTAGCAATAATAGACAATGATGTTTAAAATGTTTTTGACAATAGGTCCGCATATTCCAGCAATGATAGGAGACCCCAACAACTGACTCATCATTATCAAATATAAAATCATTACGAATAATTTTAAGTTTGTGGAATGAAATATTGGACTTCTTCAGTACACTGAAAACAATACTTCCTAAAGACAACCTGCTACTCTACATATTGGTTGAAGCAAAGCTGTTAAAAATGTAGATTTATAACCTTATTGGTTAATACATATGAAGCTTGTAGAATGAAATATTGGACTTCGCCAGTACGCTCACAATATCAAAGCTATCAAAGACAACCTGCAACTGTACATATTGGTTGGCACAATGTTACAGTTGGTGTATATTTTCACTGTGTTTGTCTCACCTGCCTAAATCATAGTGACAGAAAGGTCAGCTGTGATTAAAACAAATATGTCTCTCCCTACGGGTGGTACTGTACTACCGCCCCGGGCATCAGTATTGTTCAGACAAATCTGGAATGCTATCATATAAGCCAGCCTTGCTTTTCTGATGGGGCTATCTCAGGGTCTGGCTTCTACCTAGTGAGATGTGTTACAGAGAAGGTGGATCAGTGAGATTAACGCGTGGAAAGGATTAACATGAGAGTTAATCCTGGGTCTTTGTTCCCTTTGTAAGCCACTGATTCTACCCGGTAAGAAATATGAACATGTGACCTGTTTTTAGTGGGGGAAGTATTTAGGGCAAACTTACTACCGTAACATGGACGATTTCTTCTCACCACAAAAACATTTTTTTGTTTGGCAGGCAAATGTTCTAATATGACAGATGCTACAGATATGGTTATGCTGATGTTAGAATACAGTAATCTCCAAGCAGATCCATTAGGTGGCTAATGGTCACTCTTTTTCCTATGGTACAGCCTTCCCACCGTAGGATCTGCTTGGAGACTTGAATACAGGTATTAAGTACAGGTGTAGGAGAGTCCAATGGGTTGACAGAAAATAGAACATCTGACCAGGTAGATTGAAGAGTTAGCCAGTCATACGAGTACATTTCGTATCCTACGAGAGACTAAAACTTTAGGAGGACGACACAGAAGAATCTACAGGTTTTCTGTTATGTACACTGTTGATAGCTCTGTTATGTACACTGTCGATAGCTCTATTTCATTTCACAGGTGGGAGGTTGACTTGTCAGGTGTTTTGTCTTCGCGTCTGTTTGCACTTAACAGGCAGCGTTTTGTTCTAGTGTTGATGTTTTTCAACCCTGTGTTTCCCTGTGCCACCCTCCTACTTAGTGACTCACCGCCTTGTTGTAGGTTAAGTTTGATACATTGGTGAGTCCAACAAACAACTGGGTACCTCAGAGAGGGACCAAAAACCACTGGTCAATGAGATTATCAAAAGATCATTGGAACGCCTTGGAGATCATAAAAAATCAGTCAAACCTCCCATCCCAGAAGAGAAAGGAAAGCAAAACAGGACACATGCATGTAGCCAAACGCGTTTTGTTTCTGTTTATGTAGTTTTGTGTAGCTAACACGATTTTACAGTTGATGTCATAGGAACAGAGTAAACTACCGCGGATAACTAAGAGTTGTTTAGCATTGTCAGAAAGGGTGTTGACATTGACTATGTGTTCAAGAGTGCTTGAGAGCTTCTTGAAAAGGACTGAGCGCTGGTAGCCGTATTGCGCCGGCCTGCGAAGCTGGTGTGTTACGCCGAAGGGCGGTTATTCCGGCTATACCGATACAGATACAGTATATAGGGCAGTGCAGTAGATAATGAGTATCTCCTGTTTGACGTCCCACAGATATACGTGAGACGGCGTTCGTGTACGCCGTGACGTCAGCCGGCGTGACGTTCGCCGTGACGCAGTCCTGCAGCATGGGCGAGCTGCTGCAGTGCGGCTGTGACTACCAGATGAAGGGAGAGAGTCCGGACGGCAGCTGGGAGTGGGGAGGGTGCGGGGACGATATCGACTTCGGCTACACCAAGTCTCGCGAGTTTATGGACGCCCAGACCAGGCACAGATCCGACATTAGAACACTGCTGACGCTACACAATAACGAGGCGGGAAGACTGGTGAGTGTCAATGATACTTCTTAAAGGCGTCCAGTGTAATTTCAGGGCGTCCACACCGGATGATTTTCAAAGTAATTTTCTGGTCATTCTTCTAGTGTAGTGACTTGAATCAATCCGATCCCATAGCATGCTGATATCTGTGTGGCAAACATGTGATGTCGCGGATAGAAAAGTTTGCTTGTTTTGTATCGTGGACTGGGCCAGTGAAAATTTTAGGTTTTATAGACCAGGGCTGTATGTACAAACCATGCACTACAGATGGAAAGTGTCATTGGCTTCATATACCAAAAATTTTCTCTTTCATCTAAGGTGGTCCCTTTTTAAGTCAGTGCAATAGATGATGATTATTTTGAAATGAAAGATTCGTCTGAAGCGAAACTTACCACGACCATGGAGGTACAATTTGATCCATGCCACGACAAACGGATTTGCAATGAAAATTCAAACCTTGGCGCCAGAACTCGTGGTGCTAAAAGATGGAGTCTTATCTGTGGAGAGGTGACATGTCTATTTGCCCGGAAGAACAAAAGCGCCGCAGCGTTCAGATATGCTTTCAAACACGGAGAGATAGCATCAGAGTTACCCGTCAGGTAGGAGCGGTAGTGTTTGAAGCTAAGAGACCTGACAACGTCCCCACTTACACACAAATAAGGACTCCTGAAAACTATAGGCAGGAGATTCCTCATATTGAACTAACCGGAAGGATGGGAAGAAGAGATATCTTTTCATGTGATCAACTTGTCAATTTTCCTGGATGATCCTAGACAAGGATTAGCGTTGTAAGATTAACATACGGAAGTCATAGATTTCCCAAAGCCTGAAAAGAACTTAATGATGTTCAGATAGAATCTGACTTGTCTATGGTAAAAAAAAAAACTACATCTATCTAGCTGTTCAGATTGTCAACGTTTTAGCATGGTTCTAGTTGTTCAGTACAGATCTTCAAGCTGGCAAATTGTTACAAGTTTTCCTAACATATGTTAGCAAAGCAAAAGAAATGAATGGAAAAGAAAGGAAAGGAAAGGAAGGGAAAGAAATACTCAACTATCCTACACTGTAGCTTGCTTAAACGATGTCGGCAGTGACCTACTTTTTCTGTGACGCAAATCGTACCATTTTTCTTTACAGGCAAAGAGCAAGCGTGATTTTCAAAGGTGAAATACTTTTTTTCAATCGTAAACAGTGCACGAGACCATGCTCTCTTTGTGTACCATTGTATCCACGCGTATTGTCCGTATAGTTCTTGTATGTACACATTTACGTCAATGCAAACACTGACGCCACGCCGACGTACTTTTTCCTTTACAACTTCCACCCCTGTTAGGAGTTTCCCATATAAATTCCACCCAGGAAATAAAAGCCTGCTTCCTGTCTTTTATCGAGAAAGGCCCTCCCCGTGACATTTGCTAAATTTAGTGCAGCGACTAAAAATAGACCATTGGAATGAAAAAAGGGGTATGATTATGGTGACGTGTATGACGTAGTGACGCCGTGGTGCTACTGTAGCTTCCACGGTTACCATGGGAACGAGAACGGTGGGCCAAACCGCGTGGCCTGATGGGACAATAGGACAGACGCCATCGGACGACGATGGCCCCGGCGTTGCCTAGGTAACAGACTGCCGGCCGTACACAATGTCAGACGTAGGAATGGAGCGAGAGAAAAGAACGAGGCGCTACAAAGTACCGCAAAAGGTCGAGGTTTTTTGTACCACAAGAAAGAAGCCCAACTTGACGTGTTTACCGTCACTTATGGCACATTCAATCTCAGTTTACCAAGAGCTAACAGTACAGAAAAACACTCTTAAGAGAAGAAGAAAAAAGTCAACATTTCACCGATTGTTGAACTACTATAGTACATAGTAACTACTTGAAAACACATTGGGAACATTGTTTTGGAGCAGAGTTGATAGACTCCAGTTAAAAATAAACTCCCTACACAATTGCTGAATTGGGTGTTTAGATCCTAGCAAATTGATTTTTGATGAGGCTCAGAGACTCTTGGATGGTAATGAAGGTAATGAAATTAATTGGTAAAGACAGCACTATTCGCTGAACACGGTGAATGCATTTCTACTGCATCTTTGTGTCTATAAAAGCCATATGTAGAAAGAGTAACTGGTACATTTTATAGTATGCTCGTATTAAGCATGGAACAGACGTAGGAGTACTACTACTGTACTAGAAGCTTCCCTAAGAAGTAAGATGCGTTTTTGTTTTCGGGTCATGTAATGAACCCTCTTCCAAACTATTGGAACAGTTGCTACTTGCTAGCCAGAACCAGTCGCCGTGTAAAACTGCGTTGGTGGCATCTCCACAACAAATGACATCGTTATCGTTTAATCCGGCGTTATCAAATCATAATACAAGGTTGACCCGCTCTAACTCTCCCGGTTTCTCGGTATTCTGCCGCCTAAGGCAGCGCTCTACACGTAGATCGGCTAGAAAGGCATTCCAAGCATAGGCGGAGATTGTGTAGAAAGCCGCACGTTGACGTTCAAAGGTAGCACACAAAATGCACGCATTGTCTGACATAAGTAGGTAGAAAATAGATAAGCCTGATTAGTAGCTCATCGTGTACAATAGGTGGCGTGTGGGGCCTTGGCTGACGGGAGATGTGTGCCGTCCTTGTGGTCTTCCGTGTTTGACATTTACCACGGATCCAGGCGATTGTCTCGCCGTTTTGTGTCATCAGTTAATGCATGGATCCGCGTCTTTTTCAAAGGCGAAAACCCAGATAATTTTGCTGCCTTTGTTTCCATGCCTGACTTGTCCTCTCTCTGGGTCAGTGGCCTTGTGTTAGGCCGAGAGAAAAGGTAACGAACAAGTGAAGGATCAAACGGATTTCATCAAAAATGCGATGGAATATGTTTACCTTTAATTTAGGCTTAACGTTACTGATGCCACTCTTTTCATATGCATAGCTCTCAAGTCTGGAAAGTCAGTCCAGATTTTCCCGCCAACAGACACGAGTTTGATTGACAAGTGTTTCAGACGACTAAACTCGCCATCCGCAATGTGAGAAAAAAAAACTAGTTTGCATGCATTATTTTAGCTGGTATACGTTAAAATTAACGTGCAGATCGTTTTTTAAAAGCTTATTGAAACAAAAGTCCAAATTTGAGCTTATTGGAACAAAATATCAAAGCAAAAACAATATCTTTTATTTGGACGTGACAAGCTCCGTGGGGAGGGGGGCGGTCCCAGGAGACTCAGTGCCTGCCATACGACAGGTGCAAGTGACTAATTATGAAAAGCCGTGACTAACAAACTTTCTCATGCCTGGCTGCTGTAATCGGCAGTCCTTTATCATTCTTATTAACCGTGTGTCAGTCTGTTTCCGTCACATACACACAGTTTTCTTCCTCTGTCAAACCCAGCTGTGATGGCACAGCAGCTGCTGATATCCCAGCACACTTAGCGCGCGGTAGATCTTCAATCCATGGGGGGGGGGTCTCCAAGCAGAGGTCTAGGCTTTTTCGGCTTATTTTAGTCGAGTTGTAGGCGTTTATATTTCCTGTACTGATATCGTTTTTTACGTCTTTTTACGTCTACCTTACGCTAGCCCAAATAGTAACTGTCTGGCAATGGTTAACCGTGTCCTTGGTCTGGCAAATAGATGTAACTGATTGTTGCCGCAGTGGCCAACTTGATACTGTCTTTGCAGAGCAGCCCCAAAAAGTTCTGCTTGCTTGGAGATGAGGGATTTTCCCTGCTTGAACCTTCAACTTACTGTTTTTTCTCTACCATTAAGCCACAGGAATATTGTTATCTTATGAAACTTTAGTAGTTGTACCACACCGCTTGCTCCCTAGGTGAATGAGAGTAGCTCTTTAGTGCGCGAGACATTTCAAGACGCCAGATCGAAAAAAAAACTTTTTACTTTACCTACCAAAGCAATAATGGCAACAATGTCCTGTGAAAACGCGATGTAGGGGGTTATGTATAGGGTACGCCGTGTCAACTTTTGTGGCTGAACTTTTCTTTCAGAGGGGCTAACATGAAAGTGATTACCATTCTTCCCCTTTCGCTTCAGCTGGTTAACTCTTTAAACAGCTTCTCTCAGTCGCCAGTCCATTACGTGTAACGTAGACACCCCCTGTGGGGAGCGTGACAAATGTCGTGAAAGGGGGGACACTGAAATGTCAGCTCTCCGGAGGGGTTGGCGAGCGAGGAGAATGCGAGGAAATTTCGGGAAAAAAGACGGTTTGATTTGGCAAGGCTGAAGCGGATGCTTGGTCTTGACTCCTGGGTGCCTAGGAGACAGGAGAAAGTTGAAACATGTATCAATGTGCACATCAGTCGAGTTGGAAATAACAGACAGAAATAAGTTTGCCAGTTACGTGGCCGGCTTCACAAACTCAATGTCTGTAGGCAGATCTACAGATATTTACAAACATTATGATTTTCCTTACCAGTTGATAAGATTTTGTTTGATTTATGCTTGTGAGATAAGTTCCATTGATATGCAAATTCCTTTCGCTTTAACTTATTTATGTTTGGTTGGATTCTTTATGTTACCTTATGATTAATTGCACACTTGTATATAGTGATTATTTTCTTCTTATTTATTATTGTATTTTATCCTCAGTTACTTTGTTTGTATTTTACTATGTTGGGGTTTACCCCCCAGGTATCATTGAAAAACGCCGACAAGGCGATATGTATCACCTGGATAAATAAATGAAATGTAAATGATGAAAAATATGGCCCACAAAGACCATGATGGATTGACACTCATCACCATCATCATCATGACCGGTATTTGAATATTTGAAAGTTTATCAGTTGATAAGTGAAACAGTAACAATCAAAACCAAGCCGCCAAAATGCATTGAAAATCGAATAACAATGTTCTTTATCCATAACCACTTGTTTACAACAAAGAACCTTGATATTCAATCATTCACCAACTTGATAAAATCATCTACGGATGCATTGAAAGTTTCTCCAAAGAGAAGTGTGAGTTTTTACGGTTCATCTTCATGTGAACTTATGATGTTTCCTCCTCTCTCGTTCCCAGGCTGTCAAGAACTTCATGCGGACGGAGTGCAAGTGCCACGGGCTGTCCGGATCATGCGCAGTAAAGACGTGTTGGAAAAAGATGCCGATATTCCGGGAGGTCGGAGTCCGGCTAAAGGAGAGGTTTAACGGCGCGTTCCAAGTCATGGGATCCAACAACGGCAAACATCTCATACCAGTCGGGGACACCATCAAAGCGCCCACCGCGGAGGACCTCGTGTATACGAACGAGTCGCCCAATTTTTGCAAAAGGAACAGGAAAACAGGGTCGCAAGGGACCAAGGGAAGGGCCTGTAACGCCACGTCCATGGGAATCGGCGGGTGTGACTTGTTGTGCTGTGGGAGAGGGTACAAGGAGAGGCAGGTCGTGGTGGAGGAAAACTGTAAGTGTCGCTTCCACTGGTGCTGTGTAGTCAAGTGCTCCAAATGTACGGCCGTCAAAACGGTGCACGAGTGTTTATGAGCCCTCCCGTTCTTCTTGGACCAATGGAATTCAGTATATTCTCAAGCTTCTGTCCACTACTGACTGACTACACGTGTAGCTGACCACGCTTGCCAAGACGGGACGGAGGACACTACAGTCTACAGGGACCTTCCACAATGATTCTGAGGCCCAGCCCTTCTTGGTTTTTAAAGCGAAGTGAGATCGACCCTAATGTTTATGTGACTACGACAAAAACACCGTCTTTTCTCTCAAAAAATATTTCTTCAGTCAAAGAATTTCGTGGTGATTCGGCCTGAGTGTGAAAAGCAGATTGGTTTGGTTGATTAACTCCACGTTGATTTTCCACAAAACCTGTCATGAAGAAAATACAAGCCTCTGCACACAGTGATTGACTACATTTTATGATATAAAACTGTAGCAAATTGTGTGTAGATATAGAATGTTGACAAGCTACTATCACAATGAATTACAACGTTTCTTGATTCTTTTGAAAGTTCCCAATAGCTCAAACGACTAGTTCACAAAAAGAAATCCTTTGAGCAAAAGAGGTGTTTTTTTCTAACTGAGCAAGACCCTACACATCATGTCAGTTATAATGTCGATAAGCACATTATGATAACATTCAACGAAACTACGTAAACGTGGTTTATCAGCTATATACTACTAACGTCCATTTGAAGTCGGTACTCTTCTGGGCATGGTGTTGTTAATATCATCTGCCAGTACAAAAATATACCAGCAAGGTTGCATGACTTGATGGAAATTGTGAATTTCCTTCATCCACATTCTGGTGAAGTTCAGCTATCCTGCTACAAATGTTTTAAACGCAGAGTTCTAATCTCCAAAAGCTTTTAAGATGTTTTATCATAGTATAATCTGATGCCATACTTCAGGCTAGCAGACTAGCCACTTTCAGCAACTGTCCTGAAAGTCGAGCCGACCAGCGCTTTCTGAGTGCACCAAAACCTCGTAAAAATAGCTGTTTTTACAAGGTAAAATTAAGAACATCCAAACCTATCATTTTACCGGTAAGTACTTGTACTGTTCCTCCCTTAGTGTCCCGGATGTCCCAGGTAGTATACCGGATGTTCGAGGGATGTAGAAGGAGATTTCAAATATACATTTCTTCATGAATTCATTGATGTAAAATTTGTGTGGTTCAGGCATTTCCATCTCTTATAGTCCCTTTTGATTCCCAACGTCACTTTGCAACATTGTAGTTCCTTCCAACCTATCTAATTATCATAATTTATTCACGAGGACAGCTTCTGTCTCGCATGTATGATAAAGACAAGTAAGAGAAAGAAGCAAGCTTCTGAGTTTTGTAAATTGATATTTATTTTTGTTAATGCAGCTGTTATTTCTCATCGTTGTAAAAATGCGCAGTATATTTTACTCGTTGCTTGAAATGCAATAGATACTGTACTGGCCAACCGCCTAGAGAGAGAGTAGCTGTTGACAACGGAGGGAGGAGAAAAATGTTTGTAAACCTTCAGCATATATTAGCATAAATTAGGGTACGTCAGTCACCGAGAAGAAGAGAAGATGTACAAAAAACGTATCTAATCATTTCGTCGTTTTTGCTTTTCGTATTTAACGAAATGAGATGTAAATAATGTGTCCGTGTCCAAGTTGCAATGAATCACCAAAATGACTCGTTATGATCGTATATTTCAAAGAGATTATTTATCAACTTGCAAGGTAATAAAATCTTTTATACAACGAGTTGTTTGTGTTGTCATCTTTTGTTGTTATTTCCTCAGTTAGACACAAATATTCTAGACATGGTCATCAAATATCCATTGCGAAAGTATACTAGATCTGACAGGTGAACTTAAGTGTCAAATGTGTCTGTGAGTCTTTAAATGCATCCAATGCAATTTCATGGTGGCAAAACAAAAATATTCGGGATGAGGAAATATGATATTGAGATTTACTGTCATCTACTACATTAAAAAAGAGAATTGTCTTCGAAATCCAATTTTACTGCCCTGAAATCGCGTTAAAAACGGCGTTGGATGTAGCTCTCATGGTTAGGCTACACCGACTTAATTTTATGGATGACATCCGCGCGCGCATTTGATTTTCGCCTGTTCTCCAAAAAAAAAAAAAGATCACGTCCTCCAAGGCTCTGGCCTGGCTCTAGGCTTGCGTAGTCCATGGTAGTTAGCGACAATACGGTGGCGGTAACTTTAGAGGATGGCACCCAGGCTACTAACGCGAAGCTCCACGACTCAAGAACTCAGTACATTCCGCAAAAAGCCAACATGTGCCGGCTTGTCGTATACGTCCCTATGTACTGCCTCAAATTCACAATACGATCTTTGTATTCCTGTGGTTTAGTAGCATTTTTATTTTTGACCTGAATTTTTTTTTATTCGCCCGCGCGCACTAGTTTGGGGGTCTTCAGAGGATGTCATCCATAATATTAAATCAGTGTGGCCTTATCAACAACAACAAGAGTTCTACTGGTGAGAACATTGGGCTTGGTGTTCGTAACAGGTGGTCGTGTGAACATTATGTGATGTCTTTCAACTATTATTGCTTATCGAACTGCACCAGTAATTCACATTGGGCCGTGGTGGATAGTTAAATTGATTAGTGTAAAAGAATATAGTCAACGGATCGTTCACTCGGTAAAATGCCTGTATTCGTGTTCAAAACGGTTGCATGGAAAGAAGTCTTTCCAGGGATGGATGGAATGGTTCGCAATGGATGCCGGGATAGCCAGACGACTTTTTTCCCCTGGTATGTCGGGATCAAGTGAATTTGCGATCAGGCGTGTTTCCAGTGCCGTAAATCGCGCCGACTTATTAACCGTGCCCCCGGAGTTGTTCCAGCCGAACAAAAGGCGCCAACGAGCAAGAACAATGCCCGTCAAGGGCCGGTCCTCGGGTGTCGATGAGTAATGGCCGAAAGGTCCCCGATGTCAGCCGAGCGCCACCGCAACAACAAACGAGTTTTGTTTGGGAGGGAAGTGACGAGGGCATCGCTCCGGGCAGGCTGTCTGTCTGCTGCCGTCACCGCCCGCCGGATCAGACAGGATCCAAGCAGATCCTGGGGTGGCAAAAACCATCACAAACCTGCTAGCCTCTACCAGGCCTCTTACAGGCTGTCTGTCTGCCTGCCGTCACCGCCCGCCGGATCAGACAGGCTCCAAGCAGATCCCGGGGTGGCAAAAACCCTCACAAACCTGCAAGGCCACGAGCAGCCAACTGGTAGCCTCTACCGGGCTTCTTCAAGCGGATGGAAAGAGTAGAAATGAATCAAATAGACAGATATCACGACAGGGGAGTTGGTCCGCTAAAAGCCCGATTTGCCACTTCCGAACCGTACTCCCTGGTGGACCAACTCCCTGGCATGTCGTCTGTCTATTTGGTCACTTTTTCTTCTTTCCATCCGCTTACCGAAGCCTGGTAGAGGCTATTCCATTGGCCAGACAGTGTCCAGCCGCCACTGAAGACCCGCTATTAAACACTGGATGAAACTGAGAACATTGTCTGGATACTGACTTGCATGTTTGCCACCTCAGCATCTGCTTGGAGATGCATGTAGTAGATACCGGCAAGCAATAGAGGTACAGGAAGCTTGGAACATAAGGGTGGGGTCCTCGCTTCGTGACAAAGGGAAAACAATGGATACAACTGTTCCATTACAGGATTTATGTACTTGTCATTCATGTCTTAATTTCCAAGCAGATGTTGGGGTAGAGGACTTTGAACTTTATTTCGCCTTCACATCGGCGGCACATACGGTCGCAATGCCGTGTACAGAATTACAAGCTTAAAAGCAAATTGTGTACAAAATAATGAGAATAATGAGAAACTTAAACAAGGAAAAACTGAACAAATAATATAAATAATATAAAGGCAATAAAGCATTGTTACAAGAGGCAAGTATATGAATGGGGGGAGCATTGTGGTTGTGTCAAAACGAACTTAGGATAAACCAAATGAAGGTAACTGTATTGCTTAAGAGACAGATATGTATGTAAAAAAGTGGTAACATAAAGTAATTATGAAGGTACAAGACTCTTGAACTTAAGGAATGTACCATATAAGAACGTAGTGTTAACATAAGTGATACAGTAATGTAACTTAGGATAAACCAAATGAAGGATAAACCAAATAAAGGTAACTGTATTGCTTAAGAGACAGTTGAGGAGAGAACCGTGAAGGGTCCGTTGGGTCAGGGGTCATTCCGAACAAGCGGTCGCTCCACAGACACATTAAATCACTGGGGCTCGGGACGGACGGGTCGGCTTTGTTCGGCAGAGTTCGGCATTGTTCGGCACAGCGGGCGTGATGGCCGGCGGGGAGCACGTCGTCTGGAAGTCGGGTGCAGCCGATCGACGCTGTCGACTTTTAATATTGTAGGTTTTGTAATCTAAATAGGATAGAGGATGAGGAACACTTTGTATTAGAATGTAGTTTATACAACGAAGAGAGAGCTGAGCTTTATAAACTATTGCAATGTATGTTTCCCCATTTCATACATCTTAGCAACACAGATAAGTTCATATTTCTGATGATTTTAGACAACGAAACCTTCGATTATAAAACACATCTGTACCTATATCTACATCATTACTAAGAAGCGAGAAGAAACCAAATTATCGTAATTATTAGACTATATGTCCATAGTACATAAAATTAGCACTAGCTTGTACATTGTATATAGTCATTGCAAACTGTGACGTCTTTCCTGTGACCTGTACTGAACCCAGTGGGTATTTGCGTACAATAAAGGTCTTCATTCATTCATTCATTCATTCATTCAATATTACGTGATGACAAGATTTTTGTCCTAAAAGCATGTGATTAACCAGCTTGTATGGATCACAAGTACTCATGGGATAGGGTGCCAAACATTCGAAGTTAAAAAGAAATTGCTTGTTTGACCATGGAGTTATTGGTGTACAGAAGACGTTTGGAGCATAAGGTTTGTGTTAGAAATGTGTATCCTTATGATGGCTACTTTGAAGCGCCTTCTAGCACACCGTATTGGTACGACAGGGTTCTTCAATCAGTAATGTGTGTCCCAGGCGGGACTTTAACGTCCTAGATTACTGAATTTTGTAAATGAATCCAAGATAAAGGGGGATTTAAGGGGGACTGAAAAGACGAAACAATGATCATTGTTAGATTGTACTGAAAATGGCATTTTGCGTGTGTAGATGGCGTTCAGCATCAGGGCCAGATGCAGTTTGCCTGTGTGCAGATAGATGGCGTTCAGCACCAAGGACAGGTAGGTGTGTTTGCCTTAGTGTATTGTACTCGTGTACTTACACATGTAAGTCATGTAAAGCATGTGCTGTACATGAGTACATGCCTCTTGTCTTGCATTAGGTCAGTGGGTAGTTTTAATGAAAAAGTTGTCAGTTTTTAAAGTACACTTTGTACAAAATCTCCATAGACTTTTATTTACAGATAGCCTCGTGTGTTATGGCATATTTTGTAAGACACACTGGTAAACCAAACTTTCAATTCAACACATGAAGGTAAACTGGGATTCAATCACACTGTTTTTCCTGCTCTCTGTATCTTTATTTCTTTTTACAATAACAATACAATGTTAGGTACAAATGTATTTGGCAAAATCTATCCAATGAGATCTGATAGTACATTTTAGAAAGACATGTCAAAAACATTGTGGTATCATGTATATTAATAAGTATGTCAAACAAATTATGTTACTGTCAACCACAAACCCTGTATTAGGAATGATAAACAAAGATGAAAAGGTTACAATTTTCTTATGAATTTTGATATTCTTCATATTAGTTACTGGATCAAAATCACAGTCCAAATCTGGTGGTATTGACATTAGGTCACAAAACTTTCAGTAACTAAGAAAATTCTTGTTTAGCACACAAGTCAAAAATAAAGAAAAGCAAGACAAGAAACGAGCAATGGCAAAGAAATAAAAGTACAGGTTGTCGACTAAAATTGTGCTAAATTCAGTCGCACTATATTTTTTTTAACAGAAGAAAATGCTACATGTTTGAATACAGGACCTTACAGACGTATAAGACATTACTGTAATTTCATTTTTCTTAAATGAGAAAAAACAATATGAATAAATGAGTAAATAAAGGTGTGGCCTTCTGTTACTGTCAGACCAAGGTTTCACATCATCTGAATTCTTATCAATCCAATTTAAATCAGATCCCTGGTCTAAGTTGTTTAGATAAGTGTGTCATGAGTTCTAATTCCTAGACTTTGGCATGGTAGCATGGGTATATCACACTGTTCCAAAAGTATAGACAATTTTCTGAGCCAGAAAAGAGAAGAAAACAAAACCCTGACATCAAAAGATTACACCATTTTCTAAAACTTTCTTCACACTGATCTTGAAAGTTGTTAAATGTTTATTCTGAAATGATATATATATAAATAAAGATGATTTTGAATAATGAGAAGCATCATAATCCAATGGATTTTCTGACAAGTCTGTGAGCGATTTGGTTGAACTGTTCTCGATCCTCCCGCCACATCTTGGAGGCGTCAACATTTGCTCCACTCTCATCATTGGGTTCTGCAGGGATGCAAAGAGCATTCGGTGGTTGTTAGATATCTTTAAAGGTAGTCATTTTGTTCAGAAGGTCCCACATCTTTCATACACAAGTACATTAACTGCTAATGCTTAGGTCACATTTTCCAAACCGGGGCCAGGGCCAGGCTGTTTGTATGCAAGAAAAATCAACAATTTATATCAAGAATATACGGAAATAGTGCCGATGATTGTTATTAAGAACTTTTCTTGTTTTGTTGTCTTTTTATATCATATTTTTCGTTCCCAAAAGCTGTCCGGCTGGGCCCCGTGTGGAAATTGTGACCTCAGCTTAAAAAAGATACTGTCAAACTTGCCTATACTATAGTGATAACTCAAGGGGTTTTGAATGAAATGGTCTCAGTAGACACTGCAGACACACTACAGACAGGATTCATAAGAAAGTAGTTACAATGACTATGTGATATGGCAGTTATGCAGAAGTGACTAGTACAGGATTGTACTGTATGTGGACTTGCATTAATTTTTGGCAACACCTTAGGGGCAGAGACATTTTGCACTAAACTGGGAATTATATGAATTGTTTATTGCAAATTCATGCCCGAGGGCTAATTGCAAGAACAGAAGAAACATTTGGTATAAGAACAGACAATTGCACAAAGAACTACTGATAACTCCTAAAAACTACTGGGTTTGACTTCTTTCTTGAAGACATACAAGAGGAAGACATACACAGGTACATTTACAAAAAGAATTTTTCTTGTTCCCATCTCTAGAGCCTATTGTTCTGAACATAGACAGGAGTGTGGGTGCTATCTGTGATGTGGAAGACTACACGTACCTGCTAGCATGCTGACGACAGACAGGAGGATTTTCTCCACACTCTGTACAGGACTCCAGCGTTCACTGCTGCTCTCGTAACCCATGGGGTCATCCCCGGGCGCGTGGAGGATGGAGATACACACTCTGCCGTCTGGGTAAACTACAAACACACAATTCAACATCAAATATTAAAGCAAAGGAAAACTGTATTGCACATACATCTCAGGGCTTGAAATTCATTTTTGGGAATAGGTGCACCAGCTGATGCACCCAACTTAAAAAATTGGGTGCACAAAAATTTTTTGGGTGTACCATATGACATACATGTAGAATGTCAGCTGATTATGATTATGTTTCATTTCTAAAGAAAAATACTAAAACAATGATTTATTGTTTTTCTGACACTTTGATGTTAAGCATACGCTGGAAAAAATTGGGTGCACAGCTCCAAATTTGCACATGCACCCAGTATTTTGAGCCCTGCATCTATTATCTAATTGTGTAATACAAAAACATTTGTTGTGGGTGGTTGTACCAATCTCCAAGCAGATGTTTAGAGTTGATGAAGAAATGAATGGTTGAAGTGCAACATACTGTTTGGATGGAACATCTCACTGGTGAACTTCATCTTGGGAGGACTGAGGGGGTAGTCTGAGGGGAAGGTCATCCTGGCCTGGAACACGCCTCCTTCAAAACACGTCCCCTCTGGGCCTCTACAAACATACAAAACATATAGGATGTTAAATGGAGGTCCCGTGTTTGGGAGAGCCACACCCCACGCACGTTAAAGAACCCACCACACTTATCAAAAAGAGAAGGGGACTTTCCCGGTGTGAGTGGTTCAAACCTTACAGTCCAGTCTTACGCAGCTTGTACATGTACGTATATGTACAAAACTGGTGTGTTACGTCTAAAGGCGGTTTACCGGTTGTGCAAAAACAACAAACAAACAAAACAAAAACATGATCAACATGTCTCCTCGGGGCTTCTACAAACACACAAAATAAAATAAACCTTCTCTAGCAATCTAATACCTGCAAATACTGTGTATCAATGCAACAGCAACAGTATGTATGAAATGGTGTGAGGTACTTCATGCATTTATAACATGTTGTATATTGCACCAAGAAGGTGTTACATTAGTGATTGCGGATGTAAGTCTCTTTGTCGGGGAAGTGGACTTCTTGAAGACAACTGACATCATCAAATTTATAGATCTGAAGATATGTGACATATCATATAATTGTTAAGGTTACATACAAGATGAGGGCTTCCCATTCAAAGAAGTTTTCCTCGTTAACTGGTCCTGCTACAATCCCCTCTGGTGGGTTCAGGGTCAGCTCTGGGGGTGAACATATCACAGGTTAGGGTGAATATATGCAAAAAAGTATAAATATCTGTGTATATATAACACAGCTTTTGCCTGACACGTCAGCGTTTCCAAATTAAAGCACGTCAAATCCATTTACACAAATATAACTTTTCAGACGTAAACTAACGTTACGTTATAAAAGGACTGATGACACGAATCTTACGTTTGTATTCTGCCATCAACCGTTTCAGCGCAGATCCAGCCATTTTTCTGTTTTGGTAGCCAGAAAAAAATCAACGCTTCCGGTTTCTGCTTGAACCCGGAAGTGCTAGCACAAGATTCTCAGGGTCTAGATTTTGGAAAAGAGGGCGTTGGTTGGTTGATCCAGCTAATTTACATATGAAAGAGCCAATGAAGGAGGCTTTTGTAGCACGCACATGGTCTTTCAAAATGGCGGACATTTGAATTACGTCAAGGACAATCTATGCTTGATTTCTTGTAATATTTTCGTCCCTTTGCTGTCTAATTCGAGATCGAGGGATTTGATCGACTGTTCTTCAAATTTCTTCATTTCTGCCGTTCTGGAAAGTCACATTGCATCCGATCGCAGGCAGAGAAGGGCCGGTTTTGACGAGCCGGCTTTTTTTTTCAAACCAGAACTTCAAGCTGCGTGGTCTCCGTTAGATCATCTCACCTAACCCGGAGCCGCTCCAGCAAGATATCAAGATGGCGGCAAAAGAAGGAACAAGTGCGCTTCCTGATTGGGTGGTAAGTATTGCATTGGGGGCTAAAATATTTAATTACATTACATTACTTTTGCGATTGCAGATATCAGTCCTTTGTTTTGATCGATGCGCGTTCCGATGCACAGATTTGACGCCATCTGCGTCTTTGTTCGAGCGATCGATCGCCAAAAAATACTGATCTTGTTGATATTTGAGATATCTGTGAAGTTTTGCCCACGCATCGTATCCGTTAGTTGCAGGGAATCTCAATAATTTATGCGTAAATTTCGATGATAATCAAAAATTCGTCTGTCCGCCCCATGCTGACGAAAAACTCGCGCGAAGTCCCGTGAGAAAACGCGAGATTTTATATTCGAATAGCGCGCTCTGATTGGTCGATTAGGTTTTGGCGGTTGTGGCAATTTTCGGCCGATGTCAGTAGTGTTTTCCTATCACTGGCACAAATTTTCTTCGCTAGCTTAAAAATTAGCGCGTTTTATGCCTTGCCTCTTCTCAGAAAATATTCGTCACAATCAGGAGAAGTGCTGATATCATAGGCAAGACGTGTCAAAGCTTCTCTGTTGAAAATTTCGGCGTAAATTCAGCTGCTTTAGTGCACTTGCCATATAGTGTATTTTCAAGATGGATGCCGAAAGTCCTCTCAGGGTGAGCTGTGCTGTGTGTTCATGTTTCCTACAAGAGGAGTTGGTTACCTTGTTCTGTTCTGCACTCTTTCTCCTACGACCAACTCCTTTATGTTTCCCAGAACCTTTTCTGCTTCTATAGCATCAGACTACTTTCATAGATAGATCTCCCTAAAATTGCCTTACCTTTTTTTTCCAGTTTACAACTTGATAATTTCTAAGACATGAGTCATTTGACAGACAGTAGTTTATGACTTTTGTTCACACACTCCCAAATTCTTTCCAGCTAAATACTAGTATTGCATTTGGTAGCTGTGATATAAATATTAACTATAAGCACTAGAAGACGGTATGATAAGGCCTCATATAATTTCATCATAAGAGTCATAAATTATAATACCTGCACTTACAGGGATGGGGTTTTGTGCGCGTGAAAAATTTGCGCGCGCTGAAAAATTTGCGCATTAAGATATGCAAATTAGCCAATTCCCAAGAGACTTTAAAAACTTTTTGCTGTTTTAAGCTTAATAGTTGGAAAAAAACACATAAAACAGAATTGAACATCATTTTGTTGCATTCTAGACTACAAAGCCGTATTTTGTCAATATTTCAGTGATTTTCAAAAGTTAAGTTTTCACGCGCAAAAAGGGTTGAAATTTGCGCGTGAAAGAATTTCAGGCCTCGAAATTAACTTTTTTTACTATTGTCCCAGAATTGTCCCGAACATAGATTTCAATTGTCCCGAACAGAAGATGGACTGTCCCAGCCTACTTTTCAGGAAATAAGTTTATGACAACAATAAGAAAACAACAACTGAATTTGTACAACTTGAAGTCCACTTTATTAGTATATGTAGGGAAATACATGATAATATCATGGGCACGGCACCATCTTTGAGGCCCCCTCCCCAATATTTGGAATCCCTGATTGGTCAAATTTAAATGTTTGTCAGAGTATTATGGACTGCCGGCAGTCTGCAACAGGATCGAATGATCGCATTCCCAAATGACGTGGATGGTCTCAGAATTTTCCAATTGCCCCAAAATTGTCCCGAAACGTAATTTGAATTGTCCCAAGCTGAAAATTTAGTGTCATTTGACACTGGGACAATGTTAATTTCGAGCCCTGAATTTGTTTGCTAAAATATGAAAGCAAGCTTCTAGAATGGAGAAAAGCTTCAGATTGTTACATTTTTCCATCCTAAACCTCATACCAGGGTTGGACAAGTCCCATTGCCCACTCGCCCAGGGCAAGTAAAAGCACTGTTCGGGCAAGTGAATATCCCCCTGGACTTGCCCGATTGGGCAAGTAAATTTTTTGGATGCAAAGTATAGCCGCTGCAGTATTTTGACCAAGTTTCAAACAATTTTGATAAATTAAGCATCCAATATTACAAACTCCATCATAATAAAATAATTTCCTTTCTGCTAGTAAAATGCATAGAAATACTTCATATTTTTGGCAAGTGAAAAATTGGTTCGGGCAAGTGGAAATGACTAAGCACTTGCCCGATACAGCAAGTGGATTTTTGAAAACTTGTCCAACCCTGCATACTAGTAACTTTTCCATGTATTTCTTACAAATTCAAGTGATTTTCAAATGTTCAGATTTTATGGAAAATATGGAAATTAACCTATTCCCAAGGGACTTAAAATTTCCAACAAAAATTTTGAGTTACAGATGGAAAATTAGACCACAGGATCACATTTTACTGCATAAGAATTTGGTACTGCATATTTTCTGACATATTTCAGGGACTTTTATTTTTCACGCGCAAATTTTTCACGTGCAAATTTTTCACGCACAGAAAACCCGTTCCCCACTTACATGGGTGTGAAGGAAAGATTTCAGCTTGACACTTGATCTGTGCAGGTGTTGTTCCTACATTGAAAGTTTGAAACAGACTTTTAGTTCTCACATAGCCTTACAGAACCTCACTTTTTGCCGGCTCCCTAGTAGTCCGCACTACGTAGGGAGCCCCCGGAGCTTGGGTTTCACAGGCTACTAGTAGTCCCCACTGAGCTAGTATCACTGAGCTGACCGCAAGGGAGAGCAAAGTAGCACTCTTCTTTACTGAGTTATCCCGATCCTCCCCACAGACCTTGTTCGACAATGCTCAGAAGAAGGCTGAGAAGAAGGCAGCAGCAGGAGGAGACGCCCCGCCTGCCGAGGAGAAGGGAGGGAAAAATAAGAAACGCCTCTCTGTGGAGCGGATTTATCAGAAGAAGACTCAGTTGGAACACATCCTGCTCCGTCCTGATACCTACATCGGGTCTGTGGAACATCTCACACAGGTCAGTGTTCGAAATACCTGTCTGCAATCTGCGGATAGATTTTCAAGATTGCAGAAGAAAATTTATACAATCTGCAATTTTGCAGCAGGAAAAATTGGCATTTGGGATTTGGCGCTCTTGGCCCCAAGGACAGACTACACTTAAGCTCCTGTTCTGAAACAACAGGAGCTTCTTCACTAATTTGCATCAACCTTGTCTTGACTTGTCTATCTTTTGTTTCTTTTTGGACTTCCAAAAATTTGTCTTCACTAATTTGCATATCAATCAATAGTTCATGCTTATAAACCTGCAGGTTTGTAGTATGGAGGCTTGTGTATTTGCAGAAAGTATTTCCAAATTGCAGAACAAAATTTTGACTCTTCTGCAATATTGCAGAGCACTGAAAAAAAGTATTTCAACCACTGCAGGTACAGTACTGATCATGTAGCCTCCGCAGCAGGCTTATAGAACTGGGGGTTTGGTGGTCTTCAGCTGTTTTCTGATTAGCCCAGTTCTAAACGGGGGTAATTCAACCAGGCCGGCTATGTTGTCTATATGCGATCAGAAAATAGCATTTAAAAGCTGCCAAAGACCCTGAAGACCCCCCAAAACTCCCAGTTTTTGGCATGCTATGGAGGCTACTGATCACGGCAGTGTTGTGCTGTTTTTATTTGATTTACACAGCATATTTGAAATGCATAGATGTATCATCCACATCGTATTTGAAACACTTTTAAGGTGTTATCTTGCTCTTTTGATTTCTTTATTCGATATGCCCAGTGTTGTTCAATGGAAAATAATGCCAAAATCTTCTTGGAAATGTGTGTAACCGCCGGTATGACAAAGTAAAAGTGGTCAATTTTCTTATCCTTTATTTTGCAGAACATGTGGGTTCATGATGGCGCAGATGTGGGCCTGGTGAATCGCTCCATCACCTTTGTTCCTGGTCTGTACAAGATCTTCGATGAAATCCTTGGTAAGATTGCTACATCTCTTAACTCATGAAAACTTTTTTATTCATGAAAATTGATGTCTCTGTGTAGTAGAAAGTTTTGTAAATTACTTCAACATTGCTTGATGTTTCATATACCACTGAAACATTGTTAACATGTGCGTGTATATAGAAAGGACAATTAAATATCTATTGAATCAAAACTTACTAATGATTTATTACCTTTTTTTCAGTGAATGCCGCTGACAACAAGCAGCGAGATCCAAGCATGAACATGATCAAGATCACCATCGATCCGTAAGTGTTCTTACCTTCAAGTTCAACTGGTAGTTTCTTGTCTCATGTAGTCTCCAATTTTGATGAATTTTCATTGAAATGAGCTACTAAAGTATATCCAGTAAGAAATAATAGTGTAGAATGTATTTGATTGCACTGCAGAGCAATAGTAAGGCCACACCGATTTAATTTTATGGATGACATCCTCTGAAGACCCCCAAACTAGTGCGCGCGGGCGAAAAAAATAAAAATCCGGCCAAAAATAAAAATGCTACAAAACCACAGGAATACAAAGCTGGTGTTGTGAATTTGGCGCATTACATAGCGACATATACGACAGGCCGACACATCCTGGATTTTTGCGGAATATATGAATCGACACTGCTGTACGTATGTACTGAGTTCTTGAGTCTTGGAGCCTCGGTAGCCTGGCTGCCGTCAACCAGAGTTATCACCACCATGCACTACCCAGGCCTAAAGCCAGGCCAGAGCCTCGGAATACGTGATCTTTTTTTTTGAGATCGGGCGAAAATCAATGCGCGCGCAGATGTCATCCATAAAATTAAATCGGTGTGGCCTAATATTGGAGAAGTACATGTACTGTTGTCTTGATTGAATGTAAGACTTACTGATATGTTATCTTCCATCCCTGTGCTTACCTTGCAGATCTGGGTAGGTGTGACGAGGGTCTGGTATATGTTAGGTGGTAGTAACACTTCCCATAGCATACAGTGAATAGGTAGAGATAGAAATGCAGTGTAATGGCATGGATTATTGAGATCAAAACAAGAACAACGCAGTAGATTTGGCCCTAAGTTTCAACAGTACATTGTTGCTTGTTTTTAGCAACTGTCTTGAATTTATTCGTAGCTGCACAAGAAACACCTTTCATTTTGCTTTTTGTGGATGAAAAGAAAAATACAACACAGACTTGGAATCAGAATTTGTTGCAAAAGCAAGTAAGATTTGTGCTATACTTTGGGAAGTGTTACATGATCACCAGGTTGTTTGATAGCAGCCTGGTGTTTTCTATGTTTGCATGAGCTACGGCATGTCAGGCTCAGCATTGTGTTTGCTGGTCTTGGCTTATGCTTGGTAAAGCTGCTTTTATTTTGTTGCATTAGACTAATGATAGTTGTTGAGTTGAGTTGGTTACTGTATTATTTATTGTTGTAGGCTTATGCTTTGCTTCTAGTCTGCATTGCTCTTGCAGCATCAGCTTAACATCTTATAAATTTATTCTGCTCACCATAACCAACATGACCAAATGTCCTTTATGTTGGTCACTGTAATTTGCTTGAGGCAATGAGTTTTTACTTCATGAAAATAAAAGAACGCCATTTACTTTGGTTCATAAAGTCTAGCCTACAAGTACATGTACAAGTAGTAATATGAAGTGTTAAAATATCCATCAAAGTAATTTTTCAGAACTTGTTGTCTCCCCTTCATTGTAATAATCCTGTTGTACTTTTCCCTACATTTGTACATCAATTCCTGTCTTCTTTGTACAGGGAGAACTGTAAGATCTCTATCTGGAACAATGGAAAGGGGATCCCTGTGGTCATGCACAAGGAACAGAAGGTGTACGTCCCCACCCTCATCTTTGGGCATCTTCTCACCTCCTCTAACTACAACGACGAGGAAAGAAAGGTCACAGGTAAAGTATCATGATGTCTTCTTTTACTTTACTAAAATTCATTGTTAGCTGCTGTCATACTTCATAGAGCAAAATAACACACTCTGAATCTCACTGTACATGATCATCAGAATCAGTGGTTCACACATCTGTCAAAATCTCCAAATGTTTGCCTTTCTGAATATTGTTTTTGTTATGCATTTCTGTATTGATCAGAATGTGTGGGGCAATGGAGTGAACAAGATAGAAAAAAAACATCATCGGTAACTGTTACTAAAGTCTCCAGTACGTTTCTTGGGCCCTTATATAAACTCCTGGTCTTGTCCTGCGTTTTTGTTCCAAAGTTATAGCACAATTTATATATTTTTTGGGGTGGGGTTGTGTGGTATAGCGGCAGAGTGCTCGACTCAGAACCTAGAGGTCCCAGGTTCGAGTTCATATAACTTGAGTGTGCCGTCGTAATGTTTGGTCATGAAATGTTGGAATATAAAAAAATTATGTTTTCTGTACCATCAGGTGGGAGGAATGGTTACGGTGCCAAGCTGTGTAACATCTTCAGCAGTGAGTTCAGTGTGGAAACTGCCTCCAAGGAGGAAGGCAAGAAGTTCAAACAGACATGGAAGGGCAACATGGGCAAGGCTGGGGAGCCCAAAATCACTGACTACCATGGCTCAGTAAGTAAAGAGCAATTTTTTTCCCTTCCTAATGCCAACCCAAACCCTAGTAGGGCCCAGGATCCCTCTAAACTGAGGGGGAAAATACATGTTAAGTGCCTTTCCCAAGGGCACAACGTCTGGGTGCATGTCCGGACATGTCTGGGTCCAACCCTGGGTCTTGCTTGACAGTCAGATGCTCTATCACTACACCACACACATGTACAGATGCTTGAGTTCTGAAAGAACAATCACATGTCCTAAAGAAGATTATGGCATACGTGAACAATTTAATGAAATAAAAAGACTTGTACTCTAAGATACATACTATAGCAGCATTTGACGTTGATGAAGGTTAGACTTCCCAGTAGTGAGATCCACAAGAAAACAGTTACTCAAGGGACTGGATAGATTTTAAAACTGTCAGACGGTTTCCGAGAATAGTTTCATCAGGTTGGTAAGACACCGAGTGAAGAGACTCTTTTTACACAACCAAGTCTTTTATTCAGCTGACGTTTCGGTGACCGTCTGTCACCTTCCTCAGGGCAATTCTGACTGGAGTGGTTCACATTGTATTGCAGCACAGGTGTCGCTGCTACAGATGCATTCCCAAACTGTACAATATTTACATATCTACACATATGTCAGACAGTTTAACTTTAAGCAGCATCCACTACTTTTCATCAGCGACATTCTACATCTGGAACATTTTTTCCAGGACTTCACTTGCGTGACCTTCAAGCCCGACCTTCCCAAGTTTAAGATGGACCGCCTGGATGACGACACGGTTGCGTTGCTACGACGACGGGCGTACGACGTTGCCGGCTCCACCAAGGGTGTCAAGGTCCTCCTGAACGGAGAAAAACTGCCTGTACGTATCCAGCACATCTTGTTTGAAAAAAAGAACCATGTTCTGCTCGTGAAGTTTTGTGCTAGTTGTGGCTGGTCAAGTCTGCCAAAGACGGACAGTTTAAAATGACAGTTGAATTTTGTATATCTGTATAGACAGTATATCCACCATTGGCATAGCACACCACTAGTTTGGCAGGCACATGGCTGCATTGTACCAAACAACTTGTTACACCTAGCTTTTGCACATCTAACTCTAAGTGTTGTTTAAAGCTATCTAGATTGATGATGTCCCTACTGCACTCGGTGGCAACAAGTTCCACTTTGTAGTTCTAGGGATAAAAATGAGTTTTTGAACACCCCAATCCTTGGTGGACAACTCTGGTTCTCTTGTATTTGGTAAATCCACCAGTCTATGAGAGCAGTAACAGCAAAATGTCTTTAACGGAACCTACTACAGTTCTGTCATTTTGTATACCCTTTTACTACTGTTATAAATGGTGTACATGTATCTTGTTACTTCCAGGTGACATCGTTCCGGCAGTATGTGGACCTGTACCTGAAGGGGAAGACCGACGACATCGGCAATCCCCTGAAGGTTGTGCACGAGGTGGTGAACCCTCGCTGGGAGATCTGTGTGGCTCAGAGCGACAAGGGCTTCCAGCAAGTCAGCTTCGTCAACAGCATCGCAACCACAAAGGTGAGAAGGAAGAGTGATAGTTCAGTGTTCAAAATACTTTTTTTGAGCCACAGTGCTGCCTAGGGCAAAAACTAGATAGCGCATCTGAATTTTAGGTTGCTTGGTGGTGCCTGCACGTAGAATGCTTGCACCTCTAAATTTAGCTGTACATATTTTCAGGGGTGCGCTACCTCGGTCTGGGAGAAACTAGCGCACAAGGATATCAGGTTGCAAATGCTAGTGCGCTACCTAGTATTTCGAACACTGTAGTTGCTCTATGTATTGTTATGGCTTCACCAGACCACTTCGTGGTCTGGTGAAACCATATTGTTTTCTCTGATGTTTCTTCTTCTCCTCCTTCTCCTCCTGCCATTCTTTAAATGGATTCAGCTTCTTTATTTTGGGGCCTAAGGACCTGAAATTTGGTATGGAGGTACAGTGGGCAAATACCCTTAGGCGTTTTTTTAATTTTTGTGATACAGGCTTTTAGAATGGTTTTATTTGAGTTTTTTGGCTGTATTATAGCAAGTGTATTGCTGTGTCAGTGGGCAGTGTTAACCGCATTTGGGCATGAGTCATCACAATGGAATGCAGGGCATCAACCAATAGGCATGCAGCTTTCCTCTCTTCTTCTTGCTGATTGGCTGTTGGGATTTAACTTGATTAACACCTGCACAGAGTATTTCCACCTGCACAGAGCATTTCTTGCTGATTGGCTGTTGGGATTTAACTTGATTAACACCTGCACAGAGCATTTTCATACTGACAGTATGTCTGTATTCAAGTGTTTTGGTAGGTATTTCAAGCTTTCCTGCTCCAGCATTGGAATGCGGGGCATGAACGTTTTTTTTTTAAATCAACAGTTTGCATTATGCAATTAAAAATCCTAACCAATAATGTAGGGAATAACTAGCCAACTGTTGTAGTCTTAGTTGTATGTTACTTCATATTATAGTTATATCAATGTAAAGCATTGTTTTCCCTTGTGTTTCTCATTCTTTCCCTGCCATGTCGTAAAATGTGGTGAAGCCATCGCTGTATTTGCTCCAAAGCAAATATTGGCCTTTCTAGTTCAACATGTGTTGGCCCACTTTGCACCCTTCCTTTCATATTACTATGCCTTTTTTCCGAATTATTTGTCGTGAATAACTTCAATAAAGGATAACAGTGTATGAATCTCAAGCTCTACAAATATCCACTTGAAGTTTGCAGTCTTCATAGTTAGACGTGAAGATTGCAATGTTAGCTTTTGATACTAACAAGGTTATTCTTTGCTCTCTCATTATATTAGGGTGGACGTCATGTTGACTACGTAGTAGACAAACTGACAGACAAACTGATAGAAGTGGTGAAGAAGAAGAACAAGAGTGGCATCCAGGTCAAACCATTCCAGGTAGGTCTATCAGTCAAGAAGTATCCTTTTCAGCCTCAGGGGTTTCCCCAGAAATTCTTACGGGAGAGGTGCTTCCTAATCAATTTATGAAAAATCAGCGAATTTTCATGAAAATATTAAAACTTTTAATAAAAGAAAACCCTAAATTTTTGGGAGAGGGTGAGCACCCTGGCTTCATTGCTTCGGGAGAGTCCCGAGCCTAGTATTAGAAACATTTTCTTCTGTGAATAACATTTTTTAATTGTTGATTGTTGACTACATCAGAAGCAAGAAAACTGTTGATGTATCTGTTCTAACTTTACTTGTGACTGTAGTTGTATGTTGTCAATTTGAGTTGACTTTGTGCACTTTTAACTGTTATGTACCGATAATGTTATGTACAAAGTTCTTTAATTTTATTTGATGTCTCCAGTCTGACCTTTTGATTAAGACTTTGATTCATGTTTGTATGATTACTGTACCTATGTTTATGTTCATAATTATGTTCTGGTGTCTTGTAAGCCCATAATGGACTGGGCGACAAAAGTCACAAGACACGTAAATAAAAAATTATTCGTTCATTCATGTTTTTAACTCGCTTTGTACCTGTAGTCTTGTATTTAGCAGTACCTGATGTTTAATATCCTTGGACCCACTCCAGGTGAAGAACCACTTGTGGGTGTTTGTCAACTGTTTGATCGAGAACCCATCCTTCGACTCCCAGACCAAAGAGAACATGACTCTTCAAGCTAAGAAGTTCGGTTCCCAGTGTAGCCCTTCAGACAAGTTCATCAAAAATGTAAGTCATGGTCTGAGCAGTTTTTGTACTTGTTTTGTCTCAATACCTACAGTAGAAGATGCAATGTCAAGTCTTGTGCAGTTTATTAGGGCTAAGAAAAGGGGTTTTGTACTTTTATTACAAGTGGTGTTTAGGCCAGTGTTAGAAATACACATCTGCATATTGCATTTTGCAAGGACATTTTCAATATTGCAGAAGAAAGCAGCCTTCAATTTTGCAGACTGAAAAAAATCAGTCTAGGGGTTCAATGGTGTTTAAGAGCTTTTGTGTTTACTACTGACGCTATAATATACAACTAATTTTGCATGCATTTTTCAAAATTGCAAAGAAAATGTTTGCCAACATGCAATTTTGTACGTGAAATGGGTTTTGATCCGGACTTTTAAGTATCTCCGAATTGCAGAACAAAATTTGCAACATTCTGCAATATTGCAGAACACTGTAAAAATTACTTCTACCACTGGTTTAGGCTATTAGGTATTAAAAAAACTGATAAAAACTCCTTCCCTTCTGCAGGTCCTTTCTTGTGGTGTGGTAGAGAGCATCATGAACTGGGTGAAGTTCAAGACACAGACACAGATGAACAAGAAGTGCAGTGGCACTAAGGCCACACGACTCAAGGGCATCCCCAAGTTGGATGACGCAAACGATGCAGGTACCTGTCCTCTTGGATCTGATCATTCTCATTTTTAGATCATAAGAACAACTGTGTGTCAGATTCTGATTTATAAGTAATAAAAACAAATGTGTGTCATTGAAGAGGTTCATCAGTCACGTAGAATTATCAGTTAGTAAAATATTCCTTAATCTGACTATTTTTGAAAGGTAGAAACACGTACCTCCACTGACTCTGTCCGTGTTTCTACCTTTCAAAAAGAGTCACTGATTAAGGAATATTCTCCTAACCAAGTGTGTCAGGATTTAAAACTAGTCAAGACAAGAAACCTTAAAAACACGTCATTCTAAAGCTCTGTTTAAATCGTTCTTGTTCTTTCCTTATCAAGGTACCCGGTACTCGAGGGATTGTACACTGATCCTTACTGAGGGGGACTCAGCCAAGACTTTGGCTGTGTCTGGTCTGGGTGTGGTCGGGAGAGACAAGTACGGTGTGTTCCCACTGAGGGGTAAACTTCTCAACGTCAGAGACGCTACGGCTAAACAGGTATGTGTATCTTTCCTTTTGTACCGTTTTTGTACTAGAGTTTAGATAAGGGTGTGTTAGAATCATTCAGACAAGCAGAGGTATTTCTGCATTTGATAGCAGTGTTGTGATGTTGCGACTAGTTTTCGCTCTGTTTCTTCTTCTTCTGTTCCAAACACTGACCTCTGACCTGGTCAATGACCTGATTTGTTGATGCCTCTCACCATGGTAACTGGTGTTGGGTTACATCATGTTGAAATTTTATAGTAGGAGGTATTTATACTCATGTCTGACCATATATATGGATGTACTTGAGTAAGAATTAACAGAGCAGACCATATGTGAAGGTAAACATTATGCATTTGCTTTGCAAATGTTACCTTTCTAGTTTACTTTTGCATTTGATAGTAATGTTGTGATGTTGCGGCTAATGAAAGATGTACTTTTACTTGCAGATCATGGAGAATGCTGAGATCAACAACATCATTAAGATCATGGGCCTGCAGTACAAGAGGAAGTACGAGTCTGAAGACGACATGAAGACACTTCGCTACGGCAAGATCATGATCATGACAGATCAGGTGTTGTACATCTACTACTGCCTTTTTCTCCTAAAGTTACCAAAAAAGATTTTCTCTAGCACTTACCCCTTATTATAATATTAACCCAATTTTTTTTAAATATCTTTTCTGTTATCTGCAAGAAAACATGTTTTGAGAACATGTTTTAGAGTCAAACTGTAGAAATAGTGTACCATCTGATGGCAGCATAAAAAATATTCTTACGTTTTTATTTTATTTATTCACTTATACTTATTAAGTATTGGGCAAAAAGCAAAAGTTGCTTATATAACACCTTCTACTCAAAAACATATACAACGAGTATAAAACACGTTGACAAGATACATGCATAATTACAAGGTGGATAAAACCAAGATAAATACAAACAAGACAAGTTGGTGATCTATCAATTCTTACATTTACCACCTTTGTTTTGCTGACAGGATCAAGATGGTTCCCACATCAAGGGTCTCCTGATCAACTTTATCCACCACAACTGGCCCTCCCTGCTCAGACTACGCTTTCTGGAGGAGTTCATCACTCCTATTGTCAAGGTGGGGTCTTCAATACTGTTCATTTATGTTGGTAGTAATCATAGTAAAACATTGAACTTTATTCCAACACACAATTTACAGAGAGATCAAATTTTCAGCGACCACTGTTGCCTTCATCAGGATAATTAATTTGTAAACCGTAACTCTCGTGAGGTCACGTTGTGAAGTGATTAGTCATAAATTATCCTGATGAAGGCGACAGTGGTCGCTGAAAATTTGATCTCTCTGTAAATTGTGTGTTATAATAAAGTTAAAAGTTTTACTATAAAATGTTTTTGTACTTTAATCAAATTTACATCGAAAGAGCAATTGCCGATGTACAGGATTAAGTGTTACAGCATCAAATCATTCAATTTCATTGAAAAGGAGACTTTCTATTGTACATCACAGTATTGTATCAAACCGTTCCTTTTTTTTTGCCCCACCAGGTCAGTAAGAACAAGCAGGACCTGTCCTTCTACAGCCTTCCAGAGTTTGAGGAGTGGAAGTCAGAAACAAGCAACTGGCACACATGGAAGGTCAAGTACTACAAAGGTGTTGTCCCCAAAATACCTATGTTCTTGTCTTTGTTGCTCAATCATTTTGTCCCCGGCATTGTATCTGTATGTACATGTATGTGTTAAGGGAAACTTTTTGAGAAAATTAGTTGTAGATAGAGGTGTGGATGTGGATATCGCAAGTGTTTTGAGTACTTGAAATTGAGCTGTGGATGTTCCTATAGGGCTCAAAGTACAGGGTGCATGTGCACCTTAGTGCACCCAAATTTGGAGCTGTGTACCTACTTTTTTTCAAATATTTTTGTAGGTTTATGTATGTAATTTTAAAGATATAAATGTATATTTTTTGTGTAGAATACAGCATATTCAATGTCGAAGTGTCAGAAAAAAATAAAATCATTGTTGTAGTACTTTTCTTCAGAAATAAAACAATTAGTTTCTGCTGACATTCTACTTATTTTATTTGATATGGTGCACCCAGAAACATTTTCGTGCACCCAATTATTTATTTGGGTTGGGTGCACCAGTTCACCTATTCCCAAAAAAGAATTTCGAGCCCTGTCCTATATTGCAAGTGTTTAAACCTATTACTAACTCTGAAATCATCTGTCTTGCCCCACACCAAGGTTTGGGTACGAGCACGTCAAAGGAAGCAAAGGAGTACTTTGCGGACATGCAGCGTCACCGCATTCCTTTCAAGTACAATGGACCTGAGGACGATGCTGCTGTTGATCTGGTAATGTTAACATATTGTTTTTGCTCAGTTTCCTCTTCTTCTTCTCCAAACACTAACCTTTGACCTGGCCAATGACCTGATTTGTTGACATCTCTCACCATGGTAACTGGTGTTGGGTTACATAATGTTGCTATCTTCTCGTAGGAGGGATTTAGACTTCTGTCCAGCCATATATATGAATATGTATGAGTAAGAATTAACAGCGCAGACCATGTGTGAAGGTAAACATTATGTATTTACTTTGCAAATGTTACCTTTGTAGTTCTCGAGTTTTTTTCACTAACAATGTCGCTGTAAACTGGCTGCACTGTGTCGAAACAGAGTGTGTATAAACTATAGGCAGGAGATGTGTTTAAGTTTTGTAAGCTGTACCTGTTAACCTGTTGATCTGGTAACAGCTGTTCAGAATTTTTTTAGACGTTGTTACTGGCAAATGAATAAGTTTTCTTGCCTGTACTGATTTGAAACATAGCCTATATAAACAATAGACAAGAGATGTGTATTAGTTTTGCAAGCTGTACCTGTTAACCTTTAACAGATTTTATATGAATAAATTCAAGTTCAAAAATAAGTTCAAGACTGCTGTAAACAGTTTCTTGTTGAATTCTTAGAGATTTTCTAATTTATGACAACTAATTATGTACCATGCAATTATGTATTATGTATAATGTATCTGATAATTTTGGGATCGAATGTGTCTGTGCAATTTAACGAGGGGAATTGATGTGACATATTGAACCGAAAATCATCGATATACGATGTTAAGACCAGGTTCACTTTGCACTGATTAGAAAAAAAAAAAGAACTTGATAGCTCGGCAGTTGTACATGGTACATAATGCATGGCAACAATGACAAGGCAATCAAAGCAATACATTAAATACTAATCTATTCTAAAAACTATGACCACAGGAATGTATCTTGCATCCCAAAGGTTGTTAGTCTGACAAAGTATGCCTGTAGCTATGTCAAGCCAGAACATGGTAGCTCCTAAAAGGACTAGCACCTCTCATCCTTTGCGTCAACATACACGTCAATAAGGACGTCCTCTCGGATAGGACATAAAGCCGGAGGTCCCCTATTTTATAACAGCCACACTTGAGCCCGCTTATGTCGGTGGTTCAAACTTTGATGTCCTAAGGGGAGATAGTCGCCTATTGTGTCAATCCCTCCACAAATGTGGTAAATCTTCACAAATGAATCTGAAGCAATTTGTAACTTGTTGTGCTCCTGTTTTTGCCAGGCCTTCAACAAGAAGAAGGTGGACAACCGTAAGGAGTGGCTGACCAACTGGATGCAGGACAGAAAGCAGCGGAGAGAGATGGGCCTGGGTGAGCAGTACCTGTACGGCAAGGACACCAAGTATCTCACCTTCAACGAGTTTGTCCACAAGGAACTGGTCCTCTTCTCCAACTCCGACAATGAGAGGTCCATCCCCTCCCTAGTGGACGGTGAGCTGATCCGTTTTCTTGTATCAGGGTATTAGAAAATGGAATCCTACACTGTTAGCAAAGGGGTAGTCTCAACTCTATCAGTAACAAAGTATTTGCACACACACACAACTATTTCTTTTTCTCGGTGAAGGGTAGATTGCATGTTACTCATAAGTGCGTTTCAACAGTCGGATTTTTTAGCCTGCAGACAATTAGTGAAACTTCCTTCCCACACATCATATCGGTGCGGAAAGGACTGTTCCTGTAGCCCTTGGGCCACACAGTTGTGTAATCACTACACATTACCAATTTTAAAGTCTTTGGTATGACTTGGCTAGGGTCTACTGAATGGAAGGTGAACACTACCCATTTTGCCATTGCATCGGTCTTCTCCAGACAATAGCTTTGATTTTATTCTAACAGTATGACCATTCTATATATGTTTGTGAAATTGTCACACTTTCCTGTATTGACAAATTATGTTGTTGCACTTTCCTGTATTGAAAAAATTTGATTTCTGTTATTAAATCCCAGGCCTGAAGCCCGGCCAGCGTAAGGTTTTGTTCACGTGCCTGAAGCGTAATGACAAGCGAGAGGTGAAGGTGGCCCAGCTGGCTGGTTCTGTGGCAGAGATGTCAGCATACCATCATGGAGAGGTGCGTTTGTTTTTGTAGTACACAACCAATTAGCCATCTACATGTAATAGCAAAACACTCATTGTAAAATACTTGGGAAAGTACAAGCTGCGTGAAGGACACGTTTGTTTGAGTGACACTCCATGAAAAAATACAGGAGAGAGAACAAGTACTAGCATGATAATTTGATTGTAAAATGTTTCTATACAAGACCTGTACCTCCACTGGAATACAAACGATGATAATGTAAAATATGATGTACAGCTTGTAAAATGTTTAATCATATCCTGGATAGGCGACATCTTGTGGATACCAAATCTATTAAAAAAAAGTTAGAATGTCTTTAATTGTTAGAACCTAATAATCACTACAACATTCACTGCAACATTCACATCTATCACTACTACATTGTTTTTTCTGCAGGTGTCGTTGATGGGAACTATCATCAACTTGGCGCAGAACTTTGTTGGCAGTAACAACGTGAACATCCTGCAGCCCATTGGTCAGTTCGGTACCAGGATCCACGGCGGCAAGGACGCTGCCAGCCCTCGATACATCTTCACTATGCTCAGGTACGCCCACAAATATTCTTGGCCTTCATTTATTCATAAATTTCTCCTTTGGTTTTCTCTTTCCCGGACTCGTTCACGTCTTTAAGTTCATTTGACTTTATGTACTTCTGAGTTGCATTTATGTACTTTTGACAATTTGTGTTGACTTTGTACACTTTTGACTTTTATGTACCAATTATGTTATGTACAACGTTGTATTAAGTTCTTAAATTTCATATGATGTTTTCAGTCTGACCTTTTGATTCAGACTTGAATTTATGTTTCTATGATTTTTGTACGTATGTTTATGTTCATGTTCCACTCTTCGATAGTTCTAGGAAAGAATGAATTCTTGAACACCTCAATCCTTGGTTGATAACTCTGGTACTTGGAATTGAAATTTTTTCTTCGTCTTCAGCACGTTGGCGAGAAAGTTGTTCCACAGCTTCGACGAGCCGATGTTGAACTATCAGTACGACGACAACCAGAAGATCGAGCCGGAGTGGTACATTCCCATCATCCCCATGGTGCTGGTAAACGGCGCCGAGGGCATCGGGACGGGCTGGAGCACCAAGGTGCCGAACTACGATGTACGCGAGATCATCAACAACATGCTGAGGATGATCGATGGGAAGGACCCACTGCCTATGGTTAGTTTTTAGTTCTTCAGTATATTCTACAAAAGTATTCGTAATCGTTTTTCCCCTGGCTTGGTTTATGTCTCTATTTGTCCTGACAGCCTTGGTTTCATGATGGGTGGGAGGTAGGGGTGTGTGCCGGTTCAGCCGGACCAGTTTAAACCAGAACGACATTAGGGAATCGAATAAAAAAAACTGAAATGCGAAAACCGGATCATTGGACCTTATGTACATTTCTGTAGATTGTACACACATCTTAAGATAATCTGGCCATGGCAGGTAAAGAAAATAACCCTGAATCAAACTATTTCGAGCCCTGTGTCAAGTTATAAGGTATAGGTACACGCATGAGTAAGTGTTTGTTGCCTTCCTCCCAGATCCCCTCCTACAAAAACTTCAAGGGAGACATAGAGGAGTTGGAAGAGAACCGTTACGTGGTGAATGGGGAGGTGGCCATCCTGGACAACAACACCATCGAGATCACCGAGCTGCCCATCCGCACATGGACTCAGAACTACAAGGAGACCGTACTGGAGGTCATGCTGCATGGTACAGACAAGACACCGAGCATGATCACGTATGTCTGCTTTTTCTTTCCCTGTCTGCTTTGAATAAATTTTAATTGTCCCTAAGTGAGGATGAACTGTCCCAACCTGTTTTTCGGGGAAGTATTGTATAACTTCAACTTGAAGTCAACTCTAGTTTGCTTATGTTCACTCCCAGGTGCACAATATTCAAAACCCGGGACATGTGCCTGATAAAAAAAAAGAAGGGCTGACATTCTGATGTTGATTATTTTTTATTGTCCCTAAAATGTCCCAATTTTTAGTTGTCTCAGCTTACGTTTTAGTGGTCAGTGGCCATTGGACCACCTTTAATTTCGAGCCCTAAAAGTGTGCTGTTATCCCTATAGAGACTACAAGGAGTACCACACCGACACGACCGTGAGGTTTGTGGTGTCCATGACAGAAGAACAGCTGATGAAGGCTGAAGCAGCAGGACTACACAAAGTCTTCAAACTGCAGTCCAACCTGGCCAGCACCAACATGGTAAGGTCCCACAGCCTTCTCAAAACAAGCCAGCTACCGGCAAAAATCGCCACCTCAAATTTTTGCGCCGGCTACTTTCGTGTAAATTTTCAGAAAAACTCTGTAGCCTCCGTTACATTTTCTAACAAACTCCACCGGCTCATTTCTTCTGACAAACTGCAGACAATTTTTTGCTAGCTTTGTGGATCTGAAAACTGCTTCTTTCTAAGCCTCCTGTGCAGATTTTGTAGTGCATAAGTCAGCGTTTGCTTCTATGAGCGGCTAGAGTGGTCTTGTTCGAGTTGTATCTGCGGAGCTGTATCGCTCGAG